GGAAGGAAGGAAGGAAAGAAAAGATTTCTGTTGTTAAGTTGTTAGAATAGGAAAATAAATTTGATAAAGTACTGAAGTAAGATGGATATTCATGAACCACAGTGTCATGTACTAATTACCTTATTTCCCACAATAATTGCATCTTTATTGATTGCCCCTGTAAGAGTCTTTGATTTTTTTTTTTTTCTGCTGCTGTGGTAAATTCTGGGAGTCTGATCATGAAGTAGATGCCAGCCTTGACTCTGGCTGCCCATGGCATCTTCTCTAGAACACTTGAGCTAAATAAAAGAAGTGAGGAGGGGTTAGCTGCTCCGGGCATCATTCTCACCCATTGCTCTTCTATGAGTGTAACAGAAAATTATTGGGAAGGAAGAAGAAAATTTTATTCAAAATTGGTGTAGGATAGATGAGGGAAAATATACATACCTATGATAGGAAGTAGTACTTAAATATAGCCTGTGCACATTTGGGCAGTACTTCATACTTCTTCATTTAGGGATTCTTGTCTTCTTTGGCAGTTAAACAAATGGTAATGAATAAGCACATCTGTTGTCTCAGTAACTTTCTGGTACTTGGGACAAAATGCCCAGTGCCCACAGCTGAAGGGAGGAGAGGTTTATTTTGGCTCATCTTTCAGTCCATCACTGGCTATCTCTAAGGCAGCATGGCAGGCAGATGGGCCCAGGGAGGAGAGCTGTTCGTGGCTAGGTGGCCCGGAAGCAAAGAGCGAAGGAGGGGCTGCAAAGGAAAACATCTTCCCAAGTCATGCCCCAGTGACCTACCTCTTCTGTCGAGGCCCCACTTCTCAGTGTAGGGCAGTTGTAAGCCCCATAATCCAGCCACCTTCCAGAAGCCCTGCCTGTCGGCCCATGAAGCTTTGAGGAGACATCTAGATATAAAGCATAATATCTATTCTCCTGTTTTGATTCCTGGTCATGGTTTTGGAGAATGGTATGTCGTCGAAATGTAGTTTCTTGGGGGTGGTGTCTTGCCTCGCCGTGCTGTGAGTAATTTGAATTGATGATCCCTTTTTATCCTGCAGGACACCATTACACTTGTCCATCATGGCCAGGAACGAATACGTGTTTAACCAGCTGCTGCAGTGTAAACAGTACGTAGGGCGACATGGAGAAATGAAAAAGCACTTGTAAGGGTGGGATTGTGAGTGAAAAATTCTTTTAAAACATCTTTTAGTGTTATAAATTCAAAATGTGTAGAGAGAAAAAGTGAGGCTATTAACAGTACAGTATTGGAAGATTATATTTGCTGTTCACATTGCTCCCTCATTTCAGATTAGATTTAGAACTGAAAGACCACGAGGGCAGCACAGCTCTGTGGCTTGCAGTGCAGTACATCACGGTGACTTCGGACCAGTCTGTGAACCCATTTGAGGACCTCCCCGTGGTAAATGGGACATCATTTGATGAGAACAGCTTTGCAGCCAGACTCATTCAGTGTGGCAGCAACACTGATGCCCCCGATACAGTGACAGGTAAAGCTAAGGGATGGATTCTGCGAAATGCTGTGTGAATATTTTTTGAGACAGTCACTTTGTAGTTCAGACAGCCTTGAAAAGACAATATAGCCCAGGCTGGTCTCGAGCTTGGCAGCAATCTTCCTGCCTCAGCTTCCTCAGTACTGAGATTACAGCCATGTGTCACAACAAAAATTTAGCAAGTGACTAGCATAAAGATTTATTTACTCACTTATGTAGTGATCCTGGGGATTGAACCCAGGGCCTTGCCTTGTTGGGCAAGCACTCTACCACTGAGCTACATCCCCAGATGAGAATTACTTTGTTCTTAAATATAGTAAAAACTCAGATTAATTTTTTTTAAAATCTTGTGTTTCAAACTACTTAGACACATATTTTAAACAGAAATGTGTGTATGTTTATTTGTTTCTTTGGTACTAGGAGTTGAACTTACAACTTCTCCCTTGCCTGGCAGGGGCTGTGCCACTGAGCTATATCCCTAGCCCTACTTGTTTATTTATTGAGGTGCGTTTGGGGATATTTTAGATTCAGAACTTGTTGTGCCTCCCTAAAAATTATAGTTTTAAATAAATTAATTAATTAATAAATTACAGTTTAAGGTGGGCCAGTGGCACATGCTTATGATCTCAGTACCCTGTGAGGCAAGAGGACTGCAAGTTGCAGCACAGCCTGGGCAGCTTAAGAGACCGATTAGATCCTGTCTCAAAAGAAAAGCTAATGAGGCTGAGGGGATCAGTGCAAAGGCCAGTGACCGTCAGAGGGAAAAAAGCTGAAGCTGGGTGGCACAGAGACATACGCCTGTGATTTCAGTATTTGGGAGGCTGAAGCAAAAGAGTTTGAGGCATGGTGAGTGTGAAGCCAGCCTAGACTACATAGTGAGACCCTAATTCAGAATAAATAAAACCCATGGCTCACTTTGTGCTTTATTTTTTTATTTTTGTTTTTTAAAGAGGACTCATTATGCTTTGTATGGGTTGTTTCCCTATGTGTGATTTTTAAAACATACCTTAGTCATTTAGAGAATGTTGGTACCTGGAGTTCTGCAGATCTCCCAGGTATGCACACAGTTTAGAATTATATTTATGTCACCACTAATCTCATCAGAAGAGACTTTTCTGTATTGAAAGTATCAGAATGAGAGTTGCAGAGAAAAGTTTGCCAAAATTTTTTTTTCCAAAATTTTCATTTTCATTTGAATACTCACATTTTATCATTGGGTACAAAAAATTACTAATTTTTTTTTCACATAGCAGGTTGTTTTCTTTTTTGTCTTCTTGAGACAGGGTCTTACTATGCAGTATACAGTTCAGGCTGGCCTTGAGCTCACTGTGTAGCCCAGGCTGCTCTCAGACTTGCAAGGATCCTCCTGCCTCAGCCTCCCGAGTGCTGAGATTACAGCCATCATGTCTGGACCCTTTTGTTCATTTTCAAAAAAATATCTTCCAAATATTTATAGTTGAATAATAATGTTATATTAATTAGTCACTCTTGTGAGTGAAAATACTATTCTGTAAGAAAAGCTGCTAATCCAGCCTACTCCAGCAACAGTGTTCTTTGCTACAGTATGTAGCAAAACCTTTAAGTACACTTCTTTATTTGTTCTTTCTTTCTTTCTTAAATGTATTTGATACAGAGTCTCACTACACAGCTAGGACTTGTAGTTGTCCTCCTGTTTTCAACTTCTCCAGCGCTAGGAATGCTAGCATGTACTACCACACTCGGTCTGGGCCAGTGTGGCATGTAGTGCTGGGGATCAAACCCCGGACCCTGGGTTTGCCTGAGCACATGCTTAGTCTGCTGAGCTATCTCACTGGCCCACAGTTTTTCAAACATGTACTCAGTGTTGAGATTTAGTAAAATCATTAGGGATTTTTTTTTTTTTTTTTTTTTTTTTTTTTTTTTTTTTTTTTTTTGTGGAACCGAGGATTGAACTCAGGCCCTCGCGCTTACCAGGGAAGCGCTTATTCCACTGAGCCGTCCTCCCCTTCCTGTAGTAGGGTTTTTTTTTTTTTTTTTTGGTACCGGGGATTGAACTCAGGATCTGGCACTTGCCAGGCAAGTGCGTATTCTACTGAGCTATCTCCCCGGCCCCCTAAAATCATTAGTTATTACTGATTCATCAAATACTATCAGAAATGAATCTGGCTCTTTTCTGTGTAACCTACCAGCCCACTTTGATACCATCCTGTTCATTTGTGTTAAGCTCTGCAGTTTGACCCATTGTTGTTTTTGCACTATTAGTAGATACCAACACAGTGGGGAGAAGCAAATAGTAATATTAAGAAAATAGTTTTGACCTCATAGGCCTCCTGAAAGGTTCTCAGGAATCCACAGAGCAAACAGACAAATACTGAACCATTGTTTTAATGTTATTCTTTAATCTAGATGAACAGAAATGTTTTAAGAGGAGTGAGTTCTTATATTTCATCATTTAGTAGTATTAACAACATATGAGTACAGAATGTTAGAGAGAATTGACCCCCCCCCCACTCACCCACAAGAAGATAGATGTTGACCTCTTTGTTAAAGAAAAAGGGCCAGGGGCTGTTGAGATGGCTCAGTGGTCTAATGCACCTAATTAGAACAAGCTTAGCAGAGCACAGCGACCACGGTTCAATCCCCCAGCACCACATGCCAGCCAGCCCCGCCCCCTGGTGGGCTGAGCTGGCCACACACACACACACACACACACACACACAAAAAAAAAAAAAAAAAAAAAAAAAAAAAAGAAAAAGGGTCAGCCAAATAGCTCAGCAGATTAAGGCTCTTGCAAGTAGGTGCAGGGGCCAGGGGTTTGATCCCCCAGCCTACCACCTCAACCCCACCCCTGGTGCACAGCAGTGGAGATTGGGCATGGTGGCGCACACCTGTAATCCCAGCTCTTGGGAGGCTGTAAACAGGTGGATCACTATGAGTCTGATCTAGTAGTGAGACCCTGAACATCCTGTAGACCCTTGCCAAAAATACAAAAAAAAAAAAAAAGTTATTAATTAAATAAAGATTGTGGGGCTGGAGGATACAAATAAAAGTTAAGGTGGTTGGTGACCAGTTGGAAACCTAGCAGTTCAGTTCTTCAGTAGAAACAAAAAAATAAAGGTCGTGAAATCACCATTCTAAATGACCTCAAAGCTAAAGGCAGTAATACCACAGAACAAGGACTCCAGGAAGAACTTCACTATAAATGTTTCATACTGATGAGCTCCAAAGATGCAGTTGTTAACTAAACTTTTTCTTTTTTATGTGTTTAGTACAGGGTCTACAGGGCCTCACTACATACCTTGGACTCATAGTGATCCTTCCTGATTTTCAGTCTCCCAAGTGCTGGGATTATAGGCATGTGCCACCACACAGTCTCAATCACTATCTCGCCTAGGGGCGGGGCTGGCACCACACTCTAGGGATCAAACCTCAGCCCCTGGATCTGCCTAAGCAGGCACTTTAATCCACTGAGCTATCTGGCCAGCCCTGTTTTTTACTGTTGATTTGTGCCATTTCTTATTTTACCTGTAATAACCTTAGTTCATTGGTTTTTGGCAATTTGGTAATATTTTAGCAGTCACTGCTGAAGGGAATATAATTTAAGACTTGTGGGCACAGAATGACTGCACAAGTGAATGAGGACTCATGGGAATTGAGGTAGACTCACTTTATCAGAGGGAAAATTAAAAATGGCATGAAGACAGTAGTCCTTTGTTACATTTCTTTTTTTTTTTTTTTTTTGGTACAGGGGATTGAACTCAGAACCTTATACTTGCCAGGCAAGAACTTATTCTACTGAGCTGTCTCCCCAGTTTCTTTTATTTATTTTTAGTTGTTACTTAACTTTGATTTTTCAAGTAGTATAGCTATAGAGCATAAGATTTTATGTTCATTTCTGGGAGTGGATATTAAAAGACTGTGAGACACTATTCTAGGGCTAAAACTGTGTCTGGAGAAACTATTTTTACTTATAAAAATAGGTTTTTTTCAAGATTTTTACTTATAAAAAGGTGAAAATGCTAAGCAAAATATTTGTACGCCAAGAGTAAGCATGTTTAAGGGACTAGAAATAAAAACGAAGTATTTGAGGGGCATTTTATGCTACAACTTAAGTGTCTAATATTTTTGACATAGTAATCTAGCTCAGTGGTTCTCACCTTCAGTCCCACCTTACTCCAGACATGTGATGACATCTGTGAACATTTTTGTTTGCCACAAGTTCAGTCCTGCTGGTATCCAGTAGGTAGAATCCAGGAATATTTCTAAATATTGTACAGTGTGCAAGACAGGACTCTGTGACACAGAATTATTCCTCCCAAAATGTCAGTTCCACCACTGTTGGGAAACCTTGCTCTAACCAGTCCCTAGCAATGAGACGTAACTTCCCTATGGACCTAGGCGGTGACCAGTTGGAAACCTGGGGGAGAGTCAGTATTCCAGCTTCTGGTCTTCCCTAGTGTCAGTGTCCACATACAGATGGCCTTTGGGACCTACAGGATACCTGGACTCCAGTGTGGGCTGCCCAGGGCTAAGGTGGTGGGGGAAGGCAGGGTGTTGCACACTGTGGAACTTGGCCTCATTTCTATGCAAATAGAATGAATATCCACATTTTCTTCTAGGAAATTGTTTACTACAGCGGGCAGCTGGAGCAGGAAATGAGGCAGCAGCTCTTTTCCTGGCAACCAATGGTGCCCATGTCAACCACAAAAACAAGTGGGTAAGTGTGACAAAGCAGTTCAGAGAAATGGTTTTGTTCTGTGGAAGAAATAGTGGTGAATATGTAGGAAATGGGGAATAGGTTCTTTTTCATTTTCTTTCTTTCACCAATTTCTATGAACATGATACATACATGTGGTTTTAAAACCAGAGTAAATGCAGGAATGTTAGTACACATCTGTTGTCCCAGCACTTAGGAGGCTGGGGCAGGAGGATCACCTTGAGTTTAAGGCCAGCCTAAACTGCATAGCAAGACTCTTATTTAAAAACAGAACAACAGAGTAAAATAGAGTCTATAAGTTCTTTTATGTATGCTCAAATATTGGTTGATTCATTAAACATTTCTGAAGTAATAGTTGTATATATCAAGCCCTAGACTAAATACTTTTGTTTTTGGTGGGTTTTTTTTTTTTTTTTTTTTTTTTGTCTTTTGAGACAGGACCTCACTGTGTAGTGTAGACTAGCCTTGAGCTCACTTTGTGGCCCATGCTGGTCTCAAACTCACAGTAATCCTCCTGCCTTAGCCTCTTGAATGCTGGGATTACAGGCATGCACCACCATACCTGGCAACTCTGGGCTTTGTAATCTAATAGAAATTAGCAGACATAGCATCTTGGTCTGTGGTTGTCCTATGTGATTGCTCATTCAGTCCATGTCTCAAGCTAACAAGGTAGATTGCACAATAGGGGTGTCCCTCCCTCACCCATGATTTTACTTTTACTAATTTGAGTTACTGAAAACTGTGGTCTAAAAATGTGAAATTCCAGAAATAATTAATAAGTTTTAAATTGCTCATTATTCTGAGCAGCACGATGAAATCTCATCAAGGGCTGTCTTGCCAGGAGGTGAATCGTCCCTTTGTCCAGCATATCAATGCTCTGCATACCACCTACCCATTAGGAGTTATTGCGCTTATCAGATGTGCCACTAACTGTTTTTGGTACCAGCAGTTGAACTCAGGACCTTGTACTTGTTGGGCAGGCGCTGTACCATTGAGCTACATTCCCTATTGGATAACATAATACAGTATCACAATGCCCATACCATTCATCTCACTTCAGCTCTTCATGTAGGCATTGTATCATTTCACATAATCCCAAGAAACATGAGAACAGAACAAAAGATATTTTGAGAGACCACATTTATATAACTTTATGTACTATATTGTTACAATTGTTCTTTATTATTATTTTAATACCCTCTGCCTAATTTATAAATTAAACTTTGCCATAGTATCTGTATGTAGAAAAAAGCATGGTATGTATACTTGGGGTGTCTCAGAACATATTAAGATCAATCCATCTTTTTTCTTTCTTTCTTTCTTTCTTTCTTTCTTTCTTTCTTTCTTTCTTTCTTTCTTTCTTTCACTAGGAATTGAATCCAGGGCCTTGCACTGAGCTACATCCTTCCCCCTTTATTTTTATTATGAGATAGGTTCTTGTTAAATTGCCTGGGCTAGTCTTAAACCTCATTTCTTCCTACCTCAGCCTCCTGTGTAGCTGGAATTAAAGGCATGTACCATTGTGCCTGGCCTTTCCCCCTTTTTGGACTCTGCCTTTTATCCTCTCGTTTTTTCAATGGCTTTGCTTTTCCTGTTGTGTGTTTGTCTGTCCTTATCTTTCTTGCATTGTTAATTCTGTCCATTCTTCTATTTCTGGTAGTATGAAGACATGCTCTGTCACCTGACTACAAAAGCCTTCCAGGAGTCCATACTGTATATGACTTCTTGATCTCTCTCTCTGATACCCTTCATAGCAAAACTAGATAAAACCTAAGGTAGTGGCACTGGGGACAGCTGACACAGAAGCAAGTGAGAGGCACACAGCAAAAAAGGTCTGGAAAGCTGGTTTAAGAGCTTTGGGCTTCATCCTATGGAGAAGGTCCACAGAGGAGCAGCACGATCACTTTAGAGGTGTGAGAGAGCTGCCTGGGAAGGCTGGCATGGTGAATGTGGCACTGAGTCTAGACAGGAGCTGGGTAGGAATCATCTAGTCAAGCAGTGACCTATTATGACCTCTCATGCTGTATTTAGAGCCAAATCAGTAGGTTGCAGAGGAATTACAGAATTCCAGTTAACAGATGTGCACTTACACCTTGTAGAAGTAAGTGCAAGAGAAGTATTAAAACTATTTTTGGCTGGGGATTTAGCTCAGTGGTGCAGCACCTGCCTGGCAGGCATACAGTCCTGAGTTCGATTCCTAGTCCTCCCCTACACAACAAAAACAAAGAAACAAAAAAAGGTTAAAAAATTTTTTTGGTAGAACCTGGCCAGGAGGAAGAACTGGAGTGGTGTAAATCCCATTGAAATTGTTGAGTTCTTTCTAAACATTCAGTGAGGATGTCTAGATGACAGACCTGGATTTGCAGCTGCTGGTAGAAGCCATGGCAGTCTATAAGTGTACCCATTGAGAATGTGTAGCAACAGAGAAGACTGGACAGAGAAAATAATGGAGTAGTTATTTCTGTGATGATAATTTGTAAGAGGAAGGTCCAGAGCAGTATGTTCAGTTTCCATTTGTTTAGGTGAAAAAGAACCATCACGTGTGTGGGTAGATCACACATAAACATGAAGACACATGCACATTTGTGTTTGTGTGTCTCTGTGTGTGTTTTCCTGCAAATACTGTTAGTGGAGAAAATGTGAAATTGGTATTCCTGGTTCCTTTAGGGCACCACTGGCAGTTGGTTCAAGTTCTGTACCTGCTCGTGATCGGCGTTAACTCCCTCTCTTGAGTACACGAGGTGAATCATCAGTCTGCGTGTAAACGGAAGCAAGCTGTGTTAGATAGTTGGGTATGCAGAATGTCACAGTACACTTGTGTAAGTGTAATTTACTCTGTAGCGTGAATAAATGTATCTGTGAGTTGCACGAAAGAAGGAAAGACACAGACAGACACAAGTTTGAGGTGAGACTGGACTACATAAAGAATCAAGGCCAGCCTAAACTTCGAAGCAAGACTCCATCTCAAAAAATATTTTTTAAAAAAGAAGGAAAGGACAGGGGATGGGGATGCTAGTGGAGAATCAGAGAAATGATGCCCCAACTTAACCTTGCTTACCTCTGGGGCTGTGACGGAAGCTCTTATATTTTGTACAGTGTTTATTTTGAGACAGTTGGTAGTTATAATCATTATTTTTATAAATAGAAAAAAGTAATTATGAAAGCAAAATGAAGGGTGGTTATGGAGATTGTAAGAGATGGAGAAGATGGAAAGTCCGGGCATTTGGAAGGTACTTGGGAAGATGCTAAAAACTTAAGGGTGAGAGCACAGGTGATCGATGATCAAAGTTAGGAAAGTACAGTATGGTGGTGCACAGCTATAATGCTAGCACTCCGGGAGCCTGAGGCAGGTGAATCGCAAGTTGAGCCTATCCTGGACTACTTACGCAACATAGTAAATCCCTCATGAAAATTAAAAAAATGAAAAAGTGCTAAGGATGTAATTCATTGCAGGGGTCCTGGATTTAATCCCCTTACTACCACTACCCCCATCCCCACACATACACACACCTGCACACATGCAGCATGGAAGCTGACAGGATGAACCAGTGGCTTACTGGGCCAAGTCATAGTTGGTGGCAGGTTGAACCAACGATGGCTGGCACTGGGGCCTAATTTTGGCATTTATGCTGTCTTTATGCCTTTATGAAGGGAACTCCTAGCCTGTAGATGCTCAGGTCTGGGCCATCTGTTTGCATTCAGGGAGAAACTCCATTGCATACAGCTTGTCGCCATGGCCTGGCCAACCTCACGGCAGAACTCCTGCAGCAAGGTGCCAACCCAAACCTGCAGACAAAGGAGGCTGTGCCTTTTTCAAAGGAAGCTGCATCCCTGACCAGCTCCATGGACAGTGTCTATCTGCAGACACCGCTACACATGGCAATTGCCTATAATCATCCAGATGTGGTGTCTGTCATTCTCGAGCAGAAAGGTAAGTAATGGGGAGTTCTGCCCATCAGTTTGGCTTTGAGACACCAATTTAGGGTAATTACAGTTAGGTAATTACAGAGTGGCTTTGTCTTCTGTTGGTGAGTTTCTAACAAGAGGCATTTGTTCAGGTCAAACTAGGTAAGAAGATGGCTCTTGACCGCCATGTTTTCCTGTGTACATTTAGAGGGTGGGGTCTGCTCATACTACCTGTCAAGTTAAAGTGTGAGAAGCTGTGACTGTTCTGTCTTGTTCAGGGTATTTTCCATGCCATTTTAATGTAGGTAGAGCTGCATTTTTGCCTTGGTGTGAGCATTGTTTTCGAGAACTCTATTGTAGCAGTCTGCCACAGGTCACTTGGTCCTTTCATCTGTCTCTGAGTTCCCTGGAGACAAGCCATGAGAGGGGAGGCATTGGGGGAGATGCACCCTGTAGCATAAGGCCTACTTCCTTTAGAAAATCCTCTTACACCTTTTCTTTCTTATTCTGAGGCTTGTTTTTTACTCTTACTTCAGTTCTCAGAAATCTAGCACTTTCTAGCATTGTGCTACTGGACAGAAGTAAGGTTTTAGGTGGAAGGTGCTTTTTTGTCTTGGTCCTTACAAGAGTTTTAAGTTTGTAGGAATTAGAACATTGTCAGGGCATTGTTTTAATCTTCTTTTTAATAGTCGTCTGATAAAGGTATGTTTTTGTACTGGAGCTGATATTCCTTATTTGAAGAGTGTTTTTTAAGTATTTATCTATCTATTCATCATTTTGAGACAGGGTCTCTCTCTATACAGCTTAGGCTGGCCTTGAGTTTAGCCCAGGCTGGTCTCGAACTCCCAACAATCCTTCTGCCTCAGCTTCCCGAGTGTACCACCATGCCTGGCTCTGTTTTAAATTTTTGATGTTGTTTATTGTTTTTGTTTTGAGACAAGGTCTTTCTGTGTAGTTCAAGCTAGTCTTGGACTCACAGTGATCCTCCAGCATCAACCTCTCAAATGCTAGGATTATAGGCACATGCTACTGTGCCCAGCTAGTTTTTCCTTTTCCCCTCAGCTTGTTTTATTTATTTTTTTTGTGGAACCGGGGATTGAACTCAGGCCCTTACACTTGCCAGGGAAGTGCTTATCTGAGCCATCTCCCCAGCCCCTCAACTTGTTTTAAGTTGACCTTTGTTGTTGTTTGTTTGTTTTTTGAGACAGTGTTATATCACATAGTGCAAGCTGAACTTAAACTCACCATATAGCCTAGGCTGGCCTTGAACTCACCAACATACTCCTGCCTCTACCTTCCAAGTGCTGGGATTACAGGTGTGCACCATCATACCTAGCTTAAATTGCTTTTTTAAAAGTTTATTTCCCGGGGGCCGGGAGATGGCTCAGTAGAATAAGTGCTTGCCTGGCAAGCACAAGGGTCTGAGTTCAATCCCTGGTTCCACAATAAATAAATAAATAAATAAATAAATAAATAAATAAATAAATAAATGTTTATTTCCCATAATGGCTTTACTCCAAAGTATTAGGTTTCTAAGGTTCTACTTCCCACAGAAAGATTTATCTGTTTTGAGTAGTAAGTTAGCCAATTTGAAATTGAGTTCTTGCTCAATTGCATGCTTAAAATATCTATGGGATGGTGAAATTAAATGTTGTTTTTCTTTAAAAAAAATTTAGCCAATGCTCTTCATGCTACCAACAACTTGCAAATTATTCCGGACTTTAGCCTCAAGGATTCCCGAGACCAGACTGTTCTGGGCCTGGCATTATGGACTGGTAAGGCTGTGTGACAGCTGTGGGTGTCTGCAGTACATAGATGTCAGAGGTGTAGGTGGGCTGATGGGGGAGGGGCGAGTGGGCTAATCACTGAGTTATTAAATAACCTTTCTGAGTGGATTTGACCTAAAACACCCTGTGGGACAACTCTTGGCTTTGAGAAGTTAAGGGAGCGTAACTGTAGTAAGATGTTGAGGAAGTAGGGAGAGCTGAACAGCCATTAACCAGGGCGTTTCTTTCTCAGGCATGCATACGATCGCAGCCCAGCTGCTGGGCTCTGGGGCTTCCATCAATGACACCATGTCAGATGGGCAGACTCTGCTGCACATGGCTATCCAGCGGCAGGACAGCAAGAGTGCACTCTTCCTCTTGGAGCATCAGGCAGATATAAACATCAGGTGGGATGGGGTGGTGCTTTCCTCTGTAACATCAGACTGTACACTGAGGTTGTTCAAAACTGTGGCCTTGTTCATAGGAAAAAAAAATTTTCTAAAGAGAAGAAGAAAGATATAAAATGAAACAGTTTCAAACCAGGCTAATAGAGTTACAATAATTGATACATTATCTTCTTAGTAGTTACTCAGAGTACAAGATATAGGCATGAAATAATGTCCAGACAAAATTAGCACAAATCTTTTGAAGAGAAACTAGCTGTATAACTATCTTAACTATCGTGTG